TTTAAACTAAATAAAAAAAAAAAATAAATAAAAAAGCCAGAGATGAACAAAAATTAAACTTTCTAGATAATAAATCCAATGAAAACTGGTTACACTTGGGCACTACCAACTGCTCAATACTTGCTCACAAAAAAGAATATAGGATATTTTCAGTTTGAAAATGGGAATATTTATATATTTAATCATATAATTTGTAAGCTTTTTTGTTGAGAAGGCTAAAAGTAATTTAGCAATTAAGCTCTGTGCCATACCTCTCGTAGGTATATATATATGATTATTAGTCTAACTATAGGAGAAGATCTAAAGTAATGTACTTGAAAAATGCTGTGATGTTAGCCATAAGACTGTAAAAGATGCATCCAAGATATCTGAAAGATTTTAAAACTCCATGTCCTTAACAAGAGAAACATTGCACGACACCCATATACTCTTTGTTCACTTTCGAGAGCGCTTTAATTGCTCAGATTATAATTAAACATATTGAACTTTCGCAACCCATAAACAGGTATGTGTTTTGTTTCACTCGGTCAGCTGTAAAGCGACGCTCAGAGCGAAATACAAAATTCTCGAAATGAGTCAAAAGCTATTGTGTGTGTCGTACTACTACATATGTACATACATACATTGAATGTAGTATTCGCACTGGGGAACATCAGGCAGACTTTGGCAATTAGCATAGATCATGACTCGGATGTGTATGTTAAATATGCTAATTTAGCATAGATTTCAATTGCAACATTTACTTCCGTGTGGGGAGACTTTCTACAGCAACAATTAGAAACATTTGTTTGTATTTATTGTTGTCCATAGAATGACAGGCGAAGTCTTTGGGACTGTCATATCTAAAAGGTGTTTATCAAAATACAAAACCAGCTTTAGTTCTCGTTGGGCAGACACGCGCTTCACTCAGCTCTGCCTCACTTTGTTTTGCTTTGCTTTAATCGAACGCATCGCTTGACACAGGAATCAGACGGCGCCAAGTACATTAAGCAAAGCAAATATGCTCAAATCAGAACCAATACTACTCACAGTATATATACAGGGTGGTTCAAGTAATGCCAGTTGATTCAAATATTCCATTTATCGTCTCTCAATCCCTGAGTCTTATTGCAAAAACTGTCTACCAAAGATTGTTTTTGATATGAACACAACTTTAATATGTTTATGTTGATCATTCTACTCCTGCTTTCAAATAAGACCTTTAGTATGTATTTCTTATAAGAATATGTTGCCCATGGCACAAAAAAAGCTCTTTAATGAAATTCACCAAATATTCCCTGACAATAAATTTACCATGTAAATTAAATGCAATTTTTTTTTCTAGCATTTATACTTGCAAGTTTTAGTCAGAGACTTTTAGAAACATGTGAGACTGGAAATTTATTTTGTAGTGAAGCGTGTCAGTTGCTGACAGAATTTGTATTATATATTCCATATTAGAGCTGTGATTACAAAATGCTGCAATTATATTCCGAATGCTACAACGTAATTACAAATGTTTCATAGATAACGTTTAATTTATAATAATACGTAATATGAACATGTGTATATATATGTATTTGCAATAACAATTTTGCACTATTGCAAAAGTATTGCAAATGATGTTTCGTAATATTTAGTTATAGCAGCTTCTATTTTTCTATACACGTTTCCAGATTAATATTGGTATAGGTTTTTTTTTTGAGACTTCCACAGAATTATTTATTATTTACTTTATTTGTTGACTTCTTATTATTGTTGATGTCGGAAGCATTTGCTAAGTTATAATGCAATTAAAGCATCACAACAATTTTTGTTAGACTCTGTTTGCCAGACGTAAATATTTCGCTTAACAATTATCGGTAGTGCGACGAGATGGATCTTGCTTAAAAACGCCGTACCAAAAGCGGAACAATCGTGATCCATCTGTTCAGTTCCACTTGGCTTCAGTTCTTACAGTCAGAGTCGTCTAGTCATCCATCAGCTCTTTACTCTCTGCCCCAGCTGCACGTTTTATAGCTGGTCGCCTCTACTCGCTCACATGACTCAACATTTATCGGTTTTCAGTTTCAGCCGGGCGCTTAACGATCGCACGATTGAAGCACCGTGAAGCCATAAAGACGAGCTGCAAAGGATCTGCATTGACTTCGTCTGCCTGGCTTAGCTTGGGCCCTTGGCTGTTTGATTTGATGCGGATAATGCATTATCAATTTGAACAGGTTTCTCGTTTCACTCTCTGCTCCAAAGAACATGAATACGCAAATAAACTGATTGACCAGGACCGCGTGTGACAAGCAGATTTGCAGGGAACTAACTTCCCAAGAGGGAATCGGGAATTGTTAAACCGGTTTAGCCCTCTTTTTGATTTTATATATTGGCCTCATGTTAATTGGCAGGCGAAATGTATTCCCACTTTTATGTCACTGTTAACTTTTCGATAAATAAGCAGAAATAAGCTGTTTTAGTAACTGGAAATTTGTTCTTTGCAAGGAATGAGTCGGGACATAGTATATATATGATATAAATGTCAAGAGAGAGGGAGAGGGAAACTGAGAGCGTGAGTAACAGAGCGATAAGAAAGAGAGTTGGAAGGAAAGCGAGAGACAGAGAGAGAGAGAGAGAGAGAGAGAGAGAGAGAGAGAGAGAAACAAGGAGGGAGTGAGCGAGATAGAGAGAAGGGAAGATCGAAGGAGAGAGCGAAAGGGTAGAAAGAGATCGAAAGAGATAGTAAGACATGTGTCGGAAATGCATATTAAGTAAGCCTTAATGATTTAAACAAATATTGAGAAAAAGCCCATATGTAACTTGATTTCGTTTCATACAGTTCAATGTATCTATACATTTAAAAATGCACTTATTAAATCAGTAATGTAGTTATGACCCGTATACATATAAATGTATCGATATACACCTGAATTTAATCATTATTCCGTCCTTGTTAATGCACATAAAAATATTCCGAATAATAATAACAATGCAGATATGTACAAATAAGAGATAGTCATTAAAATTTTAAACATTGAACTGTGATTTTTTTTTATTTATTTATTTTTTAATTTCATGATATTAATAAAACCGTATTGAGCCTTTGTCATAAGTCATAAGTTTGGCAGGTAATTTAATAAAAATCTATAATTAATATTATTTATTATTAATTTTTAAAATCATTTAGCTTATGTTAAAGTATTAACAAATATTTAAATTTTCATTGCTTACGATTGAAAGTTAAGATATGTTCTCTTGCGCATCATATGAATATTTGCGTGATTTACGATATATATTTCATAGATATATTTGAAGTGAAGATTGGGTCATTGACTTGCGAAACACATTCTGCTTCAGAGTTGTTAGCTAGGAATATGTCGGTGCTTATAATATATATAGATAGATAGATACTACTATTGAATATTGCTAAGTAGACAATAAAAATGCATGGTCCGAACCGTTGTGCCATAATTCCTTTTCACATAGTTTAATGAGGCGCGTGGTTCTTGGCATACCAACTGCGAATTTATGCAATTTGATAGCAACAGCAACAACAACAACGGCAACAACAAGAATAGCAACAATAACGCCTTGTGAAGGCCGCAACAGCAAATAGTCGAGAGATAAGAATAAATTCACAGCGTTTTCTTCTTTTATTAATGATTAATATTATTTATTTACAGCGCGTAATCAGCCGCGGGTCTCGCACAAACCAAAACAAAGTGAACCGTAATTTTTGTTTTTTTATAAAAATTCGAAAGCAAAACAATATCCAGCGATGCGTGTGAGACAACAGCATAAACAATAACAATTTGAAGAAACGACACGAAATACCCAATAAACCAAATTCAAAATCAAAACAGAAACAACACAAATATCATATCGAAAATCACGTTAATTCCGCAATCTGAAATCTTGACACGTACGACAACAACTAACCATTGTCTATATAGTATACGCAGTATATCAGGCACTCGAACATAAATCTATGCCACGCTTCTAAAATAACTAACGATCTTTCAAAATAAAAACACCTTTTGGCTTTATAAAGAAAACCCTCCACCTCTAAAAACAACAAAAACAGAAATTCACAATGGATCAAACGCGCAGTATATATAGCAAGCAGTCCAAGGATGTCGAGTTTCAGGACGTTTTCTACACAGTGGATAGGCGCACAAGTTTCTGTGAGTATACAACATAGAAGATATGGGACATGCCTATAACTAATGTAAAATTATGTATTCATTGTAGTCAACAAATATGTATGTAAATATAGAAACTATATTACGTACAATTATAATAATATTCGAAAGTACCATCTGAATCACTATTCTACAGAAACTAAACTTTGTATACTTCTATCGTGAACTGATATGAGGGCTCGGGAAATTATTTTGTTTTATAAACGACTTGCTTCTAATATAATATATTAGAGATGATAGAGAGCTAGAGTCAACTCTTATACAACATGAGCCCTAGCTCTTCCGTATAGAAAATATAAGCAAAATAAACACTTCGTTTGATATATTATTCTATATAGTAGCGGAAATAAATAAAAAATGTATATACCATATTTAACAAAAAATTAAATGTTGAAAAAATTTGAATGACAATTAAAAATTATAACAAAAATGTAAAGTAACAAATTAAAAAATACAAATAAATTGAATACTTTCTATTTTATACTTTTAATTACTATTTTATACTTCTTACTTACTTTTATTGTTAGTTCTTGCTTAACTTAATACTTCTTTAATTCAATTTTTAAAAGTAAACTCGAAATTATAATAGACAGTTTCAAAATCCTTTGATTAAAAATTATTTGAAAAGGGAAAATATATAAAAAAATTTCAACCAAAATAACAAATATAAGAACTTCCATTTTATATTGAAACTTTTAAAATGAACTTTTGAACTTTTGAAAAAAAAAAAAAAAATCAGTTTGAGTATTTTCAGAATATGTTTCTACACAAAACAAGAAAAGGAGAATGATCGAGTGCTGAAAACCTGTTAGGCTTTGCACAGACAATTGGCTCGAACCTTTAACAGAACCAGCTGACATTTTTGGCTAAACTTTGCAGCTGTGGAATTTTACAAAATGTGTTTTTAAATGAAGCCTATTTCGAAATTGCGTCTTCAAAGTTTTTACTTTTGTATTACAAACTTGTTATCTGGCACATGCATAAATTTTAAAGTACTACACATAAAATATGTTTATTTTTTTTATTTTTACTTTGAACAGTTTAATAACTCATCCAAAGAGTTGTTTAAGTGGACAGCATTTAACACTATGATTTGGTGTTTCATTGCCAGAAATAAATTTTAGGCAATTTCACAATTGTATTTGCATTTTATAATTTTAACTAGAAGTCTGCGAACTTGACTGTTTGCTAAATATTTTGTTTTTTATGGACACTTTTTATGTGGGCTTTTCTAAGGTCTGAGTAATATTATTTATATAATAAATTAGTTACAGCTGTTGTTCAACGATTTCATTTCGGTTTAAGGTTTGTGGAGTTTCGCAGTTCGAATTGCGACTCGCGGGTAATTTAAATGTTGCCTTAGTTTCGGTCTCTTGAGCTATTTCGACACATTTTGTTGGCTGGCCAAGCGCTAAGTGTTCCATAATTATTCGAGACTGCCGGGCACATGAAACAAGAGAGCATAAAGAAATATGATTTTGTAGCTGTTGTTGTAAAGCGTCTATTGTTATTGCAGCTCTAACATCAGTTACAAAATTATACTTTGGGTACATTAAAATGGGGTGTTATGTGCCTGTGTAGCAAACGGTGTGCAATTTGAAATCAACTAGACTCTCTGCTCAAATTGACCTCATTTAACTTTAAGGACTCGGTCACATATTTGTTAACGTCTAGTCCTATGTTTATGCATAGGGTATCTTCAATTCTTATACTTTATAAGCAGCTTCTCAGCTGTCAATCCAAAACGCTCTGCTAATTGAATTCAAATTGTGATTTGATCGGCTTACAATTAGCTTAGCTCAGCTTAACTCAGCTTAGCTCTTGCATTGTGTTTGATATTTTGCATATGTTGACCTCATTGAACTCGTCCGATATCAGATTTATAGCTATCCGATTTGGTGAGTTCTTTGAACTATTGAAAAATAATTTATGACTCAGTTACGAAATAACACAAAGGCAAACATAACGTCATATATTAACAAAAAAAAAAAAAAAA